TCTCTGGTCTGGCCAGATTCAGAATCTTGTCTAAATTGTGTGGATTTGGAGCTAACTGACCTTCCCCAACTGTGTGACCTAGGAATTCCAAATGTGTATATCCTATCTTCTTTACCTTGGAAGGGCGTGCTGTCAAATGATGCTGCCTAAGATGATCAAATACCATTCTGAGACTACTTTTGTGGTTCTCCCAGTCCTCTGTACCCTCCAAGATGTCATCAATATAATTATCAACATTCGAAATATATTTTAGGACTTTCCTCATCAACCGGGAAAAAACTGCTGGAGCATTCACAACCCCAAAAGGCATAACCTTCCATTGGTACAACCCATCAGGGGTAATAAAGGCAGTGTATTCTTTGCTCCTTTCCTCCATGGGAATTTGCCAGTAAGCTTTGCTAATGTCAATTTTGGTCAGGTATTTGCACTCGCTCACCGCTTACATCACTGCTCCAGCTAGCCTCTTTTCACTCCCAATTTCTCACACCTCAGACATAGAATAAAACATATTACACTAATTGTGATCTTGACACGCACAGCGCTGGGGATAAGATTCTAAGACCGTACAACATTGCTGTGGTGCGTATCTGCTACGTTTTCTAAATTATTTCCTACCGTATCGTGCATATATTTTATCTGTACATACACTGATATGGCCCTTATCTGGAGCCCTGCTTTGTTCTTTATTTACTGTAGGCAAAATTAGGACATACCACTTTAATGAAAGGTTGAAAGCAGTAAAATTGAAAACCATTTGTGCAAAAAGTTGTTTATATAAGACTATAGGCGTTATTCCCTGTAGACATTAGTAGACTCGGCCGTTTGATGAATGCTTGTTATTGAAAAGGTCGAATTAAATCAGTGGTGCATTCTCTGTGTTGTTGAAGTGACGAGTTGAGTCATGCAGTTTAAACAAAATAAAAATAGCAATCTTCAAACGTAAAGCTGATAGCTTGAGTGAAACAGATCCTGACTTGAACGCCATTTTGTCACAGACTGCAACGATCTTAGCTACTTACGATTGGTCTCAACCAATTTTAAGTATCGATTGCAGCTAACAATGATCTTTGCCTACAATCGCTTTGCGTAAGTGGATGGCGATTGTAGCCGAAGCTTTAGATCGCGATGTTCAGGATTTACTATAATTGTAATGCTAAGATAGTTCTGTGCAAGTGGGCCATGGAGGGATGATGGGATTAGCACATTATTTCTGGAATGAAGGCAACTTATCATAACAAGATTGTCATGAACATAATCTATGATAAAGTGCTACTAACTGGTGAACAACTGCTGAATAAGCCATAGACCTCAGATATTTCAGCATAAGCACTGAATGTCTAGGGTGGGATGACACTGTTTAACATAGGGTGAGTTAGTTTTACATTGCTTTCAGCAATATTTCAGCAATATCACGGTGCCGGACACCAGAAATGGGTTTCAGGTTTTCGGCGTGATGAATGAACACTTTAACCACAAGCTTACCCAACCGCGCCTTTAACATAAAGGTGAAAGGTTAGATTTTGCTATGACCATCACAGGTCATAGCTCTGGATTGCCAGCTACGTAAGGGAGGTCTGACCAAAAGCTGCAGCAGTGAGTTATAGCTGGAATGAAAGTCTCAAATATGAGGCTATTCAATGTACCAAAAGTGGTAAACCACTTTAGGATCTGTTTGATATATCTACCAAGTTTTGTTGAAAAATACTGAACGGTTCTTGAGTTATGCTCCGGAAACAAAGCCCACCCTTCTTTAAGACTAAGTCCAAAACATTTCCATGGAAACCGAGAAAAATAAAAATGACAATAATCTGTAAATAGCAAAAGGCACCACCTTAGGTTATGTTTGACATATCTACCAATTTTGGTTGAAAAATATCGAACGGTCTTTGAGTTATGCTCCGGAAACAAAATGATTACGGACGGACGGACGGACGGACAGATGGACGAGGCGACGACTATATCCCACCGCATTACATGCCGGTGGAATAAAAAGGCACCACTTTGGCATCTGCCTCACATATCTGCCAAGTTTTGCTGAAAGATATTAAGAAGTTTTCGCGTTGTGTTCCGGAAACGAAACCCATCCCTTCCTTTTTGAGACTAAGTCCGAATCATTTCCATGGAAACCGAGAAAATAATAAATCACAAATATCTGCAAATAGCAAAAGGCACCACTTCAAGATCTGCCTCACATATCTGCCAAGTTTTGCTGAAAGATATAGAGAAGTTTTTGAGTTGTGCTCCGGAAACGAAGCCCACCCCTCACTTTTGGGACTAAGTCCGAATCGTTTCCATGGAAACCGGGAAAAATATAAATGCCAAAAATCTGTGAATAGCAAAAGGCACCACTTTAGGATCTGTTATATTTATCTACCAAGTTTTGCAGAAAAAATACTGAACGGTTCTTGAGTTATGCTCTGGAAACGAAGCCCACCCTTCTTTAAGACTAAGTCCAAAACGTTTCCATGGAAACCGAGAAAAATAAAAATGACAATAATCTGTAAATAGCAAAAGGCACCACCTTAGGTTATGTTTGACATATCTACCAATTTTGGTTGAAAAATATCGAACGGTCTTTGAGTTATGCTCCGGAAACAAAATGATCACGGACGGACAGACGGACGAGGCGACGACTATATCCCACCGCATTACATGCCGGTGGGATAAAAAGTGGTGATGACAAAAGGCGAGCAGGAGGCACTGGTCTGGAGGTAGAAGAATGCAGTCTTGGCTGTATCAAATACCGCCCAACTTCAGATGGTGGGATTCAGTTCAGTAGGACCTTGCATTGTTGACTAGCCAACCAATGCATCAAGAGAGGAAGTGGGAGAATTAATGCTGCTGGCCGAATTCTTTCCTCTGAGTAATCATCCAGATCCCTTTCAGCTGACTGACTGACTGAGTTTAGTTTTACGCCTCTTTTAGCAATATTCCAGCAATATCATGGCGGGGGACACCAGAAATGGGCTTCACACATTGTGAGATCCCTTTCAGGAGATGACAGGCAGATAATAAGTCAGTAAAATCATGAATGGACTTGTAGACAAAGAAAAGCAAGATATATGGATGTCAGCATCTCTATTGTGAGTAACAAGATGTTTCGGAGTGTATGCTTGCTCCTTCATCTTGCCTTTCTTATGCCTTCGATGCCTTGTAAATGCCCTTCAAAGATTTATAGACAGAATTTCCATTGAACAGTTACTGTCAGGTGTTGCCTTCATTTTGCTTAAAGTCAGGCATCCTGGAGAGCATCTTAAAACTATCAACAAACAAGAAGACAAAGTCATCAATATCACCCGAAATGGCAAAATACTCTTCAAGAACATGTCCACTTATGATTATGTCAAATGTTTTGGTGTGTATATGGCAAAGTGGAAGGTGGGTATTGTAAGGTTTTTAATAGGGCTGGATATTGTCCTGATTTCCGTATTGCGATATATTAATAATTTAAGAGATATCTCAATACATATTGTGATATAGTGACTGGAAGGTTTCTGGCCATGTGCTTACATCATAATTTCATAAAAGCTCTCTGTATGGGATATCTTCTCAGTTGCTGTTACACCATACTTTCAGGCTCCCCGTCCCCATTGTGTAAGGCTGTATGCCAATCATTTACAGATAAATAAAATGATATAGAGCCTTAACATAGAATGTTTGATTTAAGTATTGCAACAAAGTTTTGCGAACATAATGATAAAGGTAATAGTATAACATGATTTTCATGGTCAGTGTTGTTTGCTTCAACAGAATGCAGTATGCAATTATTGTTTCTGTATGTCAGTGATTCATTCAGATTCAACTCCAACATAACATGTGTTCACATGAACTATTGCAAAATGAAACATAAACATGATATAGTTGAATTATTTGAGCTTAAAATCACGTGACCTCTAATAACTAACATCCTTGACAAGAATGGCATATACAGTCCTACAAACTTTATAAGACTTAAACCTTTATGATAAATTGATATCATATGTCCAATTATGAAACAACCAAAACAAACAAAATACATGTACTGTGAATTGTGAAATGGTCACTCAGAGCCAGAGGCTCTACTATTAAGTCCAAATAAAAAATTGGTCCATTTGAGGCCACAAAATTCCTCCAAATGAAACCATTCAAACCAACAAAACAAAGCATTTGGTAGAATATTATAATGATACTTCATATCCAACAGATATAAAAGTATATTTGGCACTTTTAGAGCACCTATTTTTGCTATTGTAATCCAGGGCAGATAATTCAAGGGAGCTAACTCTGGATGACCCAATATATTGCAGAATCTGAACCAGTACCGGTTTACCGATAATATTGCACAGCCCTAGTTTTTAAGTTTTTCCCTGGAAAGGAGCACTACCACCAAATTCAGTTGGAGCCAAACTTGTTAGCATGGAAACACACAAAAATATTTTACTTAGAATTCCAAAAATACCAAAAGGCTCCAGTACACCACCAGACCGACCTATGTGCCAAGTTTGGTGAAGAAATACTGAACGGTTTTACAGTTCTGCTCTGGAAAAGAGCACAACCACCAAATTCAGTCTAAGTCGAACTTGTTGCCATGGACACACAAAAAATATTTTATTTAGAATTCCAAAAATACCAAGAGGCACCACAAGACCTATCTATGTGGAAAGTTTAGTGAAGAAATAATGACCGGTTTTGAAGTTCTGCTTCGGAATAGAGCACTACCACCACATTCAGTCAAAGTTGAAACGCAAAAAACATATTTTATTCAGAAATCCCAAACTACCAAAAGGCACCAGTACTCCACCAGACCAATCAGACCAGACCATAAGAAATATTGAACAGTTTTACAGTTCTGCTCCGGAAAAGACGAATGTGCACGGACGGACGCAGCATATTTTAATAGAAGGACTGCCCGTGAGGTAGGTGTAACACTTTGGTGGAGGGACGTCTTGTTCTACAGCTATAGACATGAATCAGGGATTTCTAAATAGACATGTCATAAAGATCCAACAAAATTGTCATACCTGTTTGTGTTTCTTTGCCTGCAGATGAGTGAAGTGGTCAAAAAGAGAAGCTGATACATGATGGCAAACTCCACACCAGTGACCACCTGGATCGTAGAACTCATATTTGATGCCCACATTCTTTTCAGTTTTTGTGTCCTACATTACAGAGAAACAGGATATAATCATTATAATACTTAGGGAAATATATAAGTGAACATGGGAAATAGTGCAGCTGAATATCTTAAGCTGTTGTGTGGAGTAAACAAATGTGTGTGTCACCAAAAATACATTGTATCAATATAATGTTCAAGGAAGATGCAGATGATGCACGTCTCCCACTGCCATGATGATTGTATACATACACTTTTCTTCTGGAAGTATGTATCAAAACAAAAGTACTGCATATTTTGTGTCCAAAGCAATGATTATACACAGGGATAGAAATTTAGATAAAAGAGTGAGTGAGTTTAGTTTTACGCCGCACTCAGCAATATTCCAGCTCTATTGCGGTTAGATGAAAGAATGGCCTGAACTAGCTACTATATATATAAAAACATACCATTTAACACTTTGATTAAATGTGTCTTATCTTTCAAGATATGAGAAATTTTCACTTTGTCACAATGACCTCAAATGATTAAAAACCTAAATGATGAATTTAAAATAACGACAAATTCATGTTTGAAAATGGAATTAATCCCAACACAACATTGACAGTGATGACAGATACTGACAATTATTTAGCCAGACTATTTAATAAATTTCATGAATTTTTCAAAATGTATACCTAATCTTGCTCATCTGACGACCATCTGATTCACTTACAATCATTCATAGACCCGTGAAGATTCGGGTTTGAATTGGGTCTTCAGTAACCCATGCTTGTCGAAGAGGCGACTAACGGGATTGGGTGGTCAGGCTGACTTTGTTGACACATGTCATCACATCCCAACTGCTTACAATGATGCTCATATGTTGATCCAGACTGATTATTTACAAACCGCCACCATACAGCTGAAATATTGCTGAGTGCAGCGTAAAACTAAACTCACTCATTCATATTTTGATAAATGTACACAGTAATAGCATGAAAGAGTAGCGTTCCCACATTGTTACTGATATGGATATGTGATCAGCAAATTAACAAAAGCAGTTGACAGCATAGATATTCTCATATCATCCTCGTGAATACTGAGTACTAAAATTTTACACTAAAATGCCTAGAGCTGATTATGTGGAACACATCATGGTATCATCAAAAGATGAAACAGGCAGAAATGGCAGTCAGCATATGGCAAACCACTTTTTCAATATTGTATATGGAAAAATTATGTTTTCAGGTATCTGATATTCCACTGCTGTGATAGATTACAGTTTCTTATATAAACACCACTGACATTGCTTGACAACTGGGCCAGGGTACATGTTCTAAATGAGTCTATAGACAAATACTTTTCAAGTCAATAATGCAAAACAACATCAGCAATGCAAATCTGATTTTGTACCATTATACCATCTAATGTTAAAAACAATAACTAAAATGCCACTCACAACTTGGAAGGGATCATCTACATCTTTTCTTGCAGCAGTTAAGTTGTTTTGGTCCTCCTTGTCTGCCTGTTTGAGGACAAAGGCAGACTTCTCGGAAGCTTTTCTCAGATGTCGAATTTGTATGGTTATTTCCTCTTGCAATTTGCTATTTTGTACCAACAAGGGATCTTTATGTCCATCTCTCTGTCGCTGTCGTCTTCTCATGATTTCATTTTGATGCTTTTTTAGCTTACCAAGTTCTTTCTCCAATACCTGTAACTTCTTTTTTCTGTCTTCACACTCTTTCAACAGACTTTGCTTTTCTGAAGTTGACAGTGTTGATGGCTTGACCTCGTCCTTTTGTTCCTGAAGCATTGGCTTGCTCAGTTGAGCTTTTTCTTTATGCAAAATTGTATCAGACAATTTATTGTCAGAATTAGGCTTTTTGGATTTATCCTTTGTGCTTTCTCTTTTGACCTTCAAAATTTTCTGAGCAGGACTTCTTTCATCTTTCGATTTGGATTTTGGTGCAATCACAATTCGAGAATACTCAGGTGACTTTTCTCGTTCTCGTTTCATGGTTTTCTTGGTCACTTCTGGTGCTGTTAGTTTGGGTTTTTTTTCATCATCTGCTATGGGGACAATTGTCAAATTTGCACTGCTTGCAGGTCGTCTTGGTTTTAAAGAACCAATTTCTGGAGATGGAGACATATGTGAAGAATAGGATTGTGCAAGATGAGAAACTGGGGTTGAATAGCTATGCTGGGCACAGGTATAAGGTGATGCATAGCTGTATGTTGGAGGAAGATGTGCATGTGGATTTCCTGGTGGTACCAAACTTGGGTGTCCCGCCTGCTGACCATAGGCGGAATGATACATACCACTGTAAAATGAAGGGTACTGCATTGGAGGAGGCTGAAAATGTGAAACTGGAGTTGTTTGTTGACTGGCAGGTGCAGTAGGCTGATGGATCAAATCAATATCCCTAAATTTTTCATTTTGATCCTGATGAGTCACAACCAGTGGTTCATTCCTTTGGTGATCAACAGGATAGTCTTGATATCCTTTATCAGAATGTTTAACTGTTTCTTTTGCCTCTTTCACGAAACTTTCAACAGGAGTACCTGCATCTTCTTTCTTGAATAGTTTTGCTCTGATGTCAGCGCTGGATATTCCACCGCCAAGGAAGGAAGCATTTTTATTTATAGAAAAATGTGATTCTTCTTCTTTTTGCTTTTTCAGTTTTGCAAGCTCCTGCATTCGTTTTGACAAATCAAAATTGAATCCTATCGACTTAAGGATGTTTTGTACAGTTTTGTCCATATCCTCCCCCTTGTTTTCTTCAGTACTTCCTGGTTCAATAGAAGGTTGAGGCTTCATCCATGATGGTATACATGAAGATGGGTCAAACATCATCTTTGGATTTGCTGAATTGTGCTCTTGAATGATCTGTGATTTGGTTACCTCTTTGTCTAACACAGGAAACAGAGCCTGTGATTGATGAGCCTTTGTGATAGCAGCATTAATTTCAGCATCTCCATACAAAAATCTTTCTTCATCATCTACATTCATCTCATTCTGCACACATCCTGGCACATTTGTGTTACTTTGCAATGAGGCATTAACCTGCATCTCCAAACTTGCTCTGCCAGAAGCCACACTCACAAGATCATCTGAGGGCAGTGGTGCTTGAAACTGTTTTAGAAAGTCTGACACTTGCTCTGCAACGCCACCTTGGGTGCCTGCGTCATACCCACTTGCTGAATCACTTCTTTTTTTGAGGATTGACTTGAGGGGTTTTGTGGCAACAGATGGTGCTTCGCTCTGATGTTGAATTACACTGTCTATCCTAGATGATGATAATTCATTATCTATTTGTTCTACCAGGCCTCCTCGTTTCTCCCTCTCTATCCTTGGGGATCTCTTCTCTGAATTTGGTGAATGCATGCTGGATTCAATTTCCCTGTGGCTAGCCACTCTGTTACTCATTTCATGGATATGAAATTTCTTTCTTTCAACATCATGTTTATACTCATTAACATTGACATCATGGTCATAATTTTCAAAACTATCGACAGATTCTCGTCTTCTATCACTCTGATAACTTTTGTTGAAATCATCTCTCTTCATCTCTGGGGAAAAGGGTACCTTTCTTGAGTCATCGTAATCCTTATATCTATCATATTTCCTTTTACCACATCGGAAATCGTCTTTTTCATATCTGTCTCCACTTCTTCTGTGCACTGTATCACTATCCATGTTTCTTTGTTCGAAACGATAATGACGAACATTTGCCCTTTGGGGGTCCTGGCAACTGTCACTGTATTCATCATGACTATTTTTCCAATCATGATCCTTTGAGCCTGTCTTTCTAGCTTTGTCATATGGACTATCATCAACTGGGGTTCTCTTACTGTATCTATTAAGTTGTCTCTCATCACATCTCTTATACTTTTCTGATCTTTGGGTTTCCTCATGCAGCCAGTAAGTTTTCTCTTTCTCACAATCAAACCTGTCATTAGAATACCTTCCTCTTTGTCCATAGTCTCTTTGCCGGGTAGGCCCATCCAATGGTTCAGTCATATCTACAGGTGGTCCCAAGCGTTCAGACAAAGGGGTAACTCTCCTTGGAGACTCATCAACTCTTTCTTTGAAGAATTTTTCATTGCCAACCGTGATTCTCAAAGATTCTGCATCTGCTGCCAAATCAATCTAAAACATAGATGTAACATGTCTGTTTTCACACGCCCTCAATCAGTAAAAGTAATTCAAATGTTTAAAAAACAAGTTGATCTAATCATGAATGGTCTCAAGAACAAAACTCAAAAGTTCATTCACAATAAACATTGATATTACATACAGAAAAAATTACTGTCTCACCTGGTTCTTATGATGAAAGAGAATATAACTCCCGTGCACATTTTCTGCTCAATCACCAACATACATCTACTTATATACAAATCAGAAGTCAAGGTGAACTAAAACATTCCTAGGTCTTTATCAAATTACCTCAAAACTTGCAAAGGTTTAGTTCTAATATACCCTCAAGAATAATCACATAAAAAATATGAAAAACTTCACTACAGAAAGCATGTAAAGGGATCTTATTGTGGATGATATACCTTTACTTTTATGTTGATTTTGGTTGGCAATCAAACATTATGTTAGTACATATTAACCACAAACAGTGCTAGTATATTGTGACAATCTTGAACAGGTTCATGCAAATTTGTAAATATGGAAAAATGATAACAATCAAAACACTGTCAGGGACAATAGAATGTCCATATCCTGGACTTCTATATTAAAATATTTTTAAAAATTCAAGAAATATAAGAATTGTCGACACTGATCATGATCAAGTAGTCCCTGTGTATAGCACATACTGTAAAATTGAAAAATATATTTATCTTATTTGTCTAAACTTGTCCAATAAAATAAGCTCTAATTTTTTAAAATGTAGATTATAAGCTTGGCTTTTGGGGTTCTGAATCAGACTTGATGATTCAATAAGAAATGTTTTTGAATGACAAAAAACCAGGCCCAGATAAGCTGCGTATCCGGGTAAAATACGCATAGAAAATTTCCAATTACCGTACGCATTGAAAAATAATTGTTGCGTACCAATTACGCATTTAAAATGTTACATACGCAAAAAGTTTAAAACAAATGCGTATGGAATATACTTATAAAAATCGCTTGCGTAATGAAAAAGACATCGATTGCTATCAAGTTGTACAACTTAGTATATGACAAGTGCTGTACTGTCAGTTTAGGATGAGTGATTTTTTATGAAATCATTTCCATTATATTTAAGTTGGTTTTGATTAGGTATGACATAAGGCAGAACATACCTGCTTAGTATACTTACTCAATGACGTAATACTTAGGTAAGTAAAATGACTGAAATATGCACATATTTCAATGCAGTGGGTAACGGAAAATGAAATACCCACTCAACATTCAAAATACCCACTCCAAAAAAATAGTGGGTACAGTACCCACATGAGCTAAATCTTATCTGGAGCTCTGAAAAATATATCCTAAGAATGCCTGAAAAGCAAAAGGCATGAATTCAGTGTATGCCTGGAGTGTATATAAAATGTCAAATATTTTGGTTCAATACCAAAATTCCTAAATGGCAAAGGGCATAAGTTAAGAGCAGCTTTGAAGTGCATAAAAAATTCGTGAAAAAATATTTACAAATTATGTTCCAAATGCAAAATAGACAGATGGATAGAGCCATTTCTTTATCTGTTGTTAAAACATATTTGGCCTTTTGATAACTGATAATTTTAACTATTAACTGTATATTAGTAATACTTATCCTATCTCGTGTTATGCACTTTCCCTTGTTCTTTCCTCTGTAGAGTGGAAAGTATCTCAAACAATTTCCAACCGCTTAGCAACACCTCACTCAAACATTATTGTAGGCAGTCAAATGAAGCCCATAGAAAGTGTGCGTCTTGCCCTGGTTGACCACAAGACAGTCAACTGAAATTAGCTTTTGGCTTGGAGCCAAATCCAACTTGTATAATCTGTGTAGTGGGGCTGGTACATTCATAAGAGATAGAATAATTTATAAACATACAAATTATAGTTAAAAATATATACTCTTTGATGAAAGTCCTTCTTGTGGTACATATAAATCGTTTCTGTCTTGTGAGACCACCCCTACAGGGCCCAACAGGGCCCCCTCTACAGCCAAGAGCGGTAACTCTGACTGCTTACCTCGTACCTCACTTTTCATACAAATTATTGTTAAATCTTTTTAAGTTATCCTGCCTCATGTTATGCAGTTATCCCAATTACACCAATCTGTAGGCAGACAACAACCATGAGATGTCAAGTTTACAAGAAGGCTGGCCTGGTGTTCTCTTTGAAGATTCTTGCTTGAACCTGTGATGGGTTGCTTCAGAAACCCCTTGGTGATACTTCACATGAACTCCCGAGTAACTTGGTTTCTTGCTGTATCATTTTAACAGGCCAAAGAATCCAAAGACCTTTCAGTCCTCAGGTCCCAGACTGTTCTTCAAACATACAGATGAATGGCAGAACAGAAGGAACAGTTTGGTAATCTCTTCTTTACATTCTCAACCTTTCCCATCAATGAATCTTCTTTCTAGAATATCTTTCTAGAAATAGGAAAGCTTAGAAATCCCCATACAAAGTGTTTTTTGAATACAATACTCATGTGATTGCTCATGAGAGTAGAGGCTAGCAAATATATACATCACCTTACTTGCCTCTGGTGGCCGTATACATGGCTTATCTTAATGCCATAACAAAGCCTTGTGAAGGTGCCTTTGTCATGGCTGTACTTCAACACATCAGTAGAACACTTGAAGAGGTTGATTACATGTAAGCCCATCATGAAAAATACAGAAGCCAGTCAAGATTAACATAGTTTTGTTCGTTCACATATGATAATGATTCACAGGTGGTGGCCTGTGGGTAGATACAACCAATATGCATTGACGGGTAGCCAGGACAAGGGTCCGAACTGGTGTCGATGCTGAAGGCAACCAGAGGTGATAGTGCAAAGGTGAAGGCATGGAGATTAACTGAGTTTGTCCAAAAGGCAATGGTAGTTCTGGAGAAGTTGTGGATAGCAGAATAAAAAGTTCATTTGTAAGTCTACAACAGTCTTGCAAGACACTAAAATAGATCTTTAGAGCCCTGACATTGCAGAGCGAGAGATCCTGAACATCATCATGCCCAAGGATGGAAGACAGCAGCGGAATGGTGAACAATCTGTCCGGTGTCTAAGCAGTAGTCATTTAGTTACACCATGCACCTTACAATACTATTCAAATATGATTGTGAAGCTGAGCACACCAACCCTTCAGGGATGTATCGACAATATATGGTGTTTTGCTTGGAACGGAGTCAAAGAGACTGTTGCAAACACTGGACTTTATCAGCCACCACTGAAGGTGGTGATGGAGAGACAAGACAGTAGACGAATCTTGGATCGTGGATCTGTACAAAAATGGACACAGGAACACTTGAATTATTTGAACTGGTTGAACAACAGTTGTCCCCTGCAAGTAAGCACCTGAGCTGATGTCAAAAGACCCAGAAGCTCTTGCCACTGACCGAGAGGGCACCTTGCCATTGGAACTTGCTGCTGTATCTGCATCCATCTGTTTGGAGGGATGAATATCTTGCTCAGTCAAGTGTCAAACATGACCCTTGTACATGGATTTGTGGCTTGAAGACCAGCCAAATTTGTCCTTGTAATCATGTAGTCTCTGGTCTGATGAGAACAAACCTTCCTGTTGACTGCAAATCAGTCATCATCCAGTAGACTGCAGGGTTCACAATGCTTGGCAAAGCTATATATTCCCATGCATTCATTGCAAGATGATGGAGGATCATGAGAAGAAAAAGACTGCTTGTACGCTGAGCAGACCTTAGTCTTCCTTGATGAGTCGATGAGGTGATTAAAGGTACATAAAAAAATCCTAAAACATCAGTAGAGATTTATAATGATGGTATTGGTAAAAAAAAAGAATTATCTTTCTATCTATGACTGGTCGTCAGGTGTAGATGAGAAACATAATAATATTAGTTGGGTGTCACGTGGTCAACCAAGACGCATGGTTTGCATGTGCTCGCTGTGACTGCCAACGACAAAAGATAGAGCTGGGGTGTGTTCAGGTGAGCTATGAAAAGAGGCTGGAAACTTTGTTTTAGCTCGTTTTCACTCCATGGTTGCTAGAACAAGGGAAAACCCATTACATGAGATTGAATAAGTTTATATATTAACAAAGTTACATGCACTTAAAGATATATGAAATCACTTCCTAATTTAGAAAGACAAATACCCAATGAAAAACAATAAGTGAGTATTGAAGAATGAGAAGTTGTTTTCAAGTCAAAATATCACAAGTTTTACACAGACAAGCCAAGCTCAGGTGTATAATTACCATCATCCTCCTTATTGTTTTCCAGGCCAAATGCCATATTATTCATACAAATATATACAGAAAGACATGCATATGCACCATACAATTGTTGTAGATGGATCTTAAAGATATGATATAAGTATTTTCCTGATATAAACAAAGAACTTGTATCACTTGAATTCAGTAAATGTTTAAAATTATCCAGACGAATGTTACATTGTAAAGAGATAGTTAATTCCATATGTAGACAATTATATAATGGACATTGATACAAGTTTCATTTAACATAAAATAACATTGTTTTGTATATCAACATAAAGGCTTTGTAATAAGTCTTATCCAATACTTTATACAGTTTGTAAAACGTTTAACATTAAGTGGATATGTACCACATTCTCCATATATTGCAACATTTGGAAATGATTTACCAACATTTAAAACAAATTTCCAAAATGGTCGATGTACAATTTCAATTTGTTGCATTTCTTTATAAGCCCATATTTCACTGCCATACTACAGTATAGGCAGTGTATGAAGTAAGCCAAAATCCCCATCAGACATTAGTGCTGGTAATTTTTACTCAGATGTATGGAACATGTCATCTAAAAATTTTACCAGACCATCGAGCTGGCCAGCTGCCAGCTGTAAATTGAGACCTTATTTCATACATTGGTTTAGGTACAGTCCTTAAATCAAATATCTTAAAAGCATCTTTTGGACATATGTTGTCATTAATCCAAGGTATTTGTAAAAATTAACTACTACTTCAATTTCAATTTTATTTCAAGTCCATTTCTCAAA